AAACAGTGTCTATATTTTAATTGATGCTATACCCGTATTGCTTTCATTTTGATTGACGTCAGGTCCTTCATTCATCAAGTCGTTATAATTTGCATCGATATAGGATTCGATTTCGCTATAATTTGCAAAAATTAGTTTTTTATTAGCATGAATTTGTAGCAGTTTTAAACACAAGCTTCGTATGTATTCAGTACTTCAAATGAAAAAAAAACAATAATATTTGTGTAATGGAAATTTCTCGTTCATCCTGAAATTGAATATAATGGATCTTTACGTGTGCTATTGTTTTTAAGTGTGCAACAAAATGAGTGGAAGTTCAACTGTGGAACACCGGTCAAGACTCATTGGTTTCCACGGTATTGTGAGCGTTTCGTGACTTGGCGCATCGAGATAAATTTTCTATTGCATCAAATCAAATATTTAATTTTTCCCTCTTCTTTTTCTATTCGATCACTGTGGTTCATTTTTTCTCATTCTTTCATGAGCAATCGTATGGTCTCCTAATGTGATAACGAACACCAATCATTGATAGGACGGACAAATTTTTGTCCGTCCGTTTAAAAATTGTCCGTTTCCGTCCGTTTGATATATTTTGTCCGTCCGTCCGTCCTAAATCCCAAACGGACGGACAATTTCATTTTGTCCGTCCTGGAATTCTAAACGGACGGACAAAATGAAATTGTCCGTCCTTGAATTCTAAACGGACGGACAAAATGAAATGTCCGTCCTTGAACCCCAAAACGGACGGACGGACACGAAATGTCTGTCCGCTGTCCGTCCTATTGACACCTTTATGTACACGAACATTGCCATTCGAATCCATGACCAGAAATGTAAAAAATTAAAAAGTGTTGAAAAAGGAAGATATCAGCTCGATTCCTCCATCTGACAATCGTCAATTTCATGGGAATTGTCTGAAAGTAGCATGGATTGGTTTTCTTTACAATGCTGCAGGGGCTAAGAATCGTACACTCAGTTCGCAGTACAACTCATTTTAATGAGAGCCATAGCGCTCTGTGCGATACTCTACTCATCTAAAAGAATCATGTGCGCCTCACTCACTCACCAGTCTTCCGCTTCTTCTTCTTTTTCTTCTTTTCGCTATAGCAGATACGAACAAAACGAAGAAGAAGAAGAAGCAGAACATAGTGTGCGGTGTGCGTATAACGTACTGTCAGTATAAAAACTCATTTTCGTGAGACGAGCAGCGCACACGAATTTATCGTCTTTCATTCAAGTGAGTGTGTGCGTTACTTGCAGCGTCCATGGTGCGGCTGTTGACACTATATTTTCCTATATTTCGAATTGGCGCGCTGTGTAGTTCCGATTTGAAATGTTAAATTACATTGATGTGTCCTTTGAAATTGGGGGCGCTCGCGTCGCCTCAAATGACTTTGACGTTCAACAGCCGCCACACGGCAGCGTCCACTCAGTGCGATTCTTAAGCTCTGCAATGCTGCACCATTTTAAATTTCGCTTTGCCCAAACCACAGTACAAAGTATTGGATTTTTTACGAAGCGCATCGAAAGAATCCTGACCGACACCAATTGTCATTTGGATGCCGTCGCGTTTTCATTCGTATGAAAGAACAGACCAACTTTTCGTGGTGATACCATCGTTTGCTTCCAATAATTTGAAAATATCAGATGCATCCTTCTTCATACCCTTGCACCATACATTGAATTTGTAAGGATTTGGGATATTCTTAAAGTCGATCACCACAAGTTTGGCGCCAGTCCAGAGTTTTTTGTGATCAAGAGTTGGAATGTACTTTTCCAACCAAGACCGCGTCTCCATATTGGCGCATTTCACTCTCATTGCACCACTGAACAAACGAGTATCCTCAAATTGGGGCAATTTCATGTTTTTCTCAACCTGAGTAATCATCAAATCAGTGATCAATGAGCTAAGCAGATCAAATCTAGGGGCTTCACGCAAAATTTTCAACCATTGAATTTGTGTAGTGATAAATAAATAGTAATAAGTTTTAACGATTGTTATGAATTTGAAACGATACAAATAAATTTTGGTGAATTCTAGTGAATTTGTCGATAAATTAGATTTCACAGTCTTGCCAACTTAGCTGTCAAACTAAGTGTCGAACCTAGTGTTTAGCAATGAAAAGGGTCGGTAATACAAATTCTTGTAATTTTTTCTACTCACATAAATTCACCAAAATTCACCAAAATTCACCAAAATTCACCAAAATTCACCAAACTCCTCAATATTCATTCAATTCAAATGTGAGAGTTTTCGTGAATTCATGTGAGTTTCAGCGTGCAAGAATGGATTTTACCGGATTATACGTCAATAGAATAAATACTTGTTGTTTTTGAATCATTTTTTGAGTGCGTGAAGCCCCTAGGATCAAATCTCTTTTGGTCCATCAAATTGACTGAATCTTGTGCACGTAAATCAACAATGGCAACGCACAGTCAACTAGTGACTGAAGCGTACGTTTCAGCCTCATCATAAACCTCGCTACCACTTTCGATCATATGCACGGCTTCATCAACTTTGGAATTGGTTACCAATACGATACTTGGAAATTTCCATTTCCATACATTATGATGTACGATGTTGAGTATTGGTTATTGTGGTAGCATTGAATTTAATACAGAAGTTTTGCTGATTTTTTGATTTTTGGTGACCTGAACTTTATTGTACTCTGTATGCTATCTATATGATCCATCCATACATTGTGATGTAGTACGTTTCATGTAACGCCTTAATTATAGTTTGTTATGCAATGGAATTTCGGCTGATCCATGGATTCTCAGTATTTGACCTGATTCAACCACTTCAACTTCTTTGCGTTGTGGTAAGATTCCATACAAAACATAGGGAATATGACTTTACAGATGCACATAAAAAAGGAAGCACTGGTCAAATCATGAGAATCCATGGATCAGCTGAAATTTCACCGGATTTGTATTCCAGACCATCAAACCAGCTGGGTGTCAACACTCCCTTTGGGAGTGACACCACGGTCCGTTTTGCCGATTTACCCAGCCGTTTTCGAGATATTTCCATGTGTACATTTGGCCATAGAAGACAATGCAATAGCAGCGGCGCTCCGAGTCTTTCATACAAATTTCCCATGTAGACGTCGCAACACAGGCAAAAATCGAAAAAAAAGTTTAATTTTTTTTCGATTCTCATACAGTATTCAATGTGCCAAATCCATTGGTGCTATCGGCACATCGAAATTCGCACTCGTTATGAACTTATCATAATTTTGAAACAGACTGCATCATGCCCGAAATTAGATTCAAAGAGAAACAACACCAATCTGAGAAACAAAGTGCCACAAAGTAAGTTTCGGCTTTAAACTGCAACATGAATTTTTATGTTGCACTTTGTTTCTCACATTTGCTTTGTGTCGCTTTGGTTCAAAAACTTGCGTTGTTGCTCTTTGTTCGTAGCTTCGATTCAATTCTCAAATATTCTGAGGGAAATTTTTGTCGCAACGGTTCATATATAGTTATATATACTATAACGTCTAAACAGTTAGGTCTTCAGAAAACTTATGGTGACTCCCATTCAAGCCTTGAAGCCCCTGGGGCACCAGCTATAGGCGTGAAAATTCGAAGCTAAAAATATGGTTCTTGGAGTTTGAACGGATGCCCATTGCCCAATCGAACGTGTACAGACATTTGAAAATCGGGGTGTGGCACTATGAGAGACTTATTGGTTAGCAATAAAAAGTTCAAAATTGCTTATATATAGTTTGAGTCAAACTGTTTGACTTTCATTGGTGTGCTTTCGTCCCTCGCACCTGCTGTTGCAGTCTGTGGCATTTGATGCGGTCATTTTTAACATTCCCGAAATGATTGATTGTCCAGCATCATTTCACTGCCTCGGATGCTCTTGCCGAGAAAAGCGAAATGAGCTTCACTAAGTCAAAAAAACGTGCATATTTCATTGATTTGAGACATTTGTCAATTGTTTACTATTGCGATTGTTGGATTCATTGTGCATATGAACTCCTGAGAATATTCGTTGGAAGTTATCACGTTTTTTTGAGATAAGGTTCTTGAAAAATCTGGTTGATCTTGAGCCATCTGAATTCAATGCAAAGTGTGCATTGAAGCAAGTTTTGTTTGTAATTTTTGTATTCAATAAAACATTTGTTTTTTTTTTATTTTACAGAATTTTCGCATCATGTCCGATTTATACGCAAAGGTTGCTTGTCTTATTATTTGGAACCTTTCGAGTTATTGCCAGTAATTCTGAGCAAATTGCTACTGGTATGAGCAGTGAAGCTATTGGGGTATCGGTTGCACCTAGCTTTTTTCAGTCCTGCGTTAGTGATGGAAAAACGGCTCGAATGGAAGACGTGTTGCGATATAAGGTGAGATATAGTATAACATTATTAAGTAAACTTCACTAAAAATAACAATCCCTCAAAGGTTGCTACAAGGATAATGAAGCAAATTATCGATCAGTTTGCATCATTCGACTTATTTGGCCGTGATAACTATGAATATTATGCACGAGTTACGGGCCGTGTGCTACGTGTACAAAATGAGTGGATTTGCAGTTTTCGATATCCAGCACCTCCTAGAGGTAAGATTATAATTGTGCAGGCATTATGCAACAATTACTTTCTATGCATATAATTAGCACAACGGTACATATCAAATTTGGATGACAAATCATGCAATCTGGAATGTTTTAAGTCAACGTGTGATGACCAACGTATTACACATGACGCGAGCGTACACCGCCCGTAGTGCATTTTGTTTCAGAACTCTATTAAGATAAGAGTTAGCAACTTGTTGTCTTCGCAAATACATGGTTCCTCATTTTTCACGGAGCTGATAAGAGATAATTGATATTTGTTTTCAGCAAAGTCGTAGAGCATTTTGAGTGCTACAATTTTCTGAAGACACCGTTTTATTATCTTTTATCATTCACGTAAAAAATGAAAACAAAAAACTCGCGTTTTTCTAGGTTTTTTGCGTAACTGATAAGAGACAACGAAAGAACGCGAAAGAAGAATTTTCGAAAACCCCGTACTGGACGGTATTTTTCGCGTATTCTGCGTAAATGAAGCTGATAAGAGATCAGCGAAGCTGTAAGGGATTTTGGGTTCTACAATTTTGCCGAAGAAACCATTTCATTATCTCTTATCACAGTCCATTTTTCATACAAAATGTACACAGGGAAATATGGTGTCAGCACCATATAAGGACGAAAGGTTAATGTCGTGATTATTGGTGCAATCATTGACATCTTCATCTCGAATCATGACACTTTGTCAAGATTCCGTTAGGGTAAAAATACGTGATTTAAATTAAAACCCGCTTTCGCTAGAGTCTGACACAGTTCAATTATACATTGCATTAATCTGGTATATTTTGAATGGTTTTTAATAGTACAACTATCATTGGAAACGGAAAAGACTTGGTTGCAATGTCAATGCGACCGATGGGTTTTGAGTAAGTTTCAATTTTGAATCAATCAATCCATTTCTTCCAAATTATCTCTCCAATCTAAATTCAATTCAATTCAATTACTGTAGACCAGGAGGAATCACAATCAACGCCACTTTTGACTACGACCACTACGAATGTTTGTAACAGTTCTGTATCACTGGGCATGATACCCGAACACACGTTGCTAGAGTCATGTGCACGTCTTTCAGTCTCGCTTGAAGGTCCCAGTCTTTTTGCCAATCCATCACATTCATCATCTTCACATTCATCGCATTCCAGTCAATTGAATCATAATATGACTTTAGATGAGTTAAGAGCGGTCAATCGGTATGCTGAAAGTACAAAGAGTTTATCATATCTGCCCCAGGTATACACAATGATTAATTTTCACCCTAAACATATAATTTTATTATTATTTTTATCATAATTACTCTAAATTATAGGCACTGCCTATTAGGCAGTTTGGGTTCAGAAAACCTCTCTCTGTTAAAAGCACCATAATATATTGTATATAATCATTTTAGGTATTAAAGTACATATAGGAATTGGTCCCGAACACTTTTTTCGATCGTCATAATAACTCATGAAATACGTAAAAAACTCGTTTTTGAGACAGGCAGTATTGGTTCCACAAAACTGTCAAAAACCAAACTAATTAACCCTCTAATGCATACAACCGCCTCTAGACGGGCAACATTTGAACGCCTGTATAACGTAAACCGTACGTCGTTTCACATTGCTTCAAAAAACATTTTTGTTCTTCAAGGTGTCCTCTATAATTTTGTCTTTTGCACTATTAGTGTACATCAAGTGGTTGTCGTATTATAAACAAAAATGTGTGCAAAACAATAATTTGACAAAATAAATTATTTGGACCACACGTTAGACAAATTTTTGACACTTTTAAACAATGGATTTGATTGTCTCCGATTTATGTCAATCGCATTTCTTGACTAAACCATGAGGAATCTAGGATTATGAATATTTTTTTAATTATTTACGACCAAAAATCAACTAAATACCAGTACTCCCAGCCCTGGGAAAAATTAATGCATTAGAGGGTTAAATATATGTATTTAATTTTATATATAAAAAAACCAGGTTATTTGGAACGTTCCATAAAAGTTAGTTTTTCAGAAAAGTTGATCATCTCTGTAAAATTTCGAATAACTTTTCCGAGATTTTACTGTATCAAAAGCTGAAATTGCCAAAAGATCTGCATCCAAAAAACTCAGTTTAAGTTCGAAGATGAGCCATTTTCGACTTGACCCTGGGGTACATGCCCCAAGAAAAACCTCCAAAAAATGACAAATTTGTATGGGATAAAGGTCCGTCTTTTTTGCCCGTCCGTCCGTTCAGCGTCAGAAGGACGGTCGGACGGACATTGAAATACGCTGAGGCTATAAAATGACGGACTTTCTAAGGAACACACAGAAATAAAATGTGGTAGGTTTGTGCTATCTATTGGTGACGAGTATAGTTACCACAAGTTTCTTAGAAAAGTTACCCCACGCACCAAAATATTACTATGCATTTTTTGGTT